ATTATTTGTGTTCGTGATATAATTATTAAAACATAAAATTTTTTAATTAATGATATACATACACATATATATATATATACACACACAAATGTCATATACATATATATATATATATATACATATAGATATAAATAAGAATGAGATTTCCAAGAAACTGAAATATTTCACTGTTTCAAGAATATTCAAAATAATTAAAGTATAATAACTTCTCATGACATTATCATATGTATAAACTGTTGAAGACTTATTTCATTGCACAGCTCGTAAATGCATCATCTATGTCAAATAAGGCGTCGGATATATACATATATATATATATATACCTACATAATGTATACGCATCATGTATTCGATACACATATATATATATGTCTGCATGCCGACATAATAATTTATGGATGTATACATATACGTGCATTATATATTTATACACTCCCTGCTGTCATGTTTTTCCTGGAATCTTACCCAGCCCATAGAAATTCGTTTTAATTCTTAATAGACGACAGCCCATGTAGATAATCAACCAAGCCCAAAAGTGTTTATATATATATGTATGTATGTATGTATGTATGTATGTATGTATGTATCAGGTAATTAATAAAAAAATTAAATATTTAATATCATTTTCTGTAACGAACCAAAATTTATTTATTTATTTTTTTGAATTTTCAGATAAAAAGGCATAGTGTACGCACGTGCAAGACTCGCCGGATTTGCGGGACCGCACGTGCGGATTTACTCCTATTGCTGCGGCCCGTATTTAAATTCTCCGAGAACCACCGAAGCCCGCCATCTCTAACGACTCTTACCTTCTAAGCTTTCGAGGTGATAAGAGAATAAACCAGTGTTCAAAGATCACCTCAGTTCCATCGCCAGTATACACTCCTCCATTTACCACTTGCTTCTTAAGACCCTAACCCTAGACTCTCAATTCCTTAAATCCATCTTTCGAGTAAGGTCACTGCTGTTGTTTAGCAAATGTCAACTTATATATTTGCAGTGGTTTTGAATAATCCGTTAAGAGACTCGGAATTCCTCCTCGTCAAGCAAGCTCGGCCGCCGAAATTCAGCGAAGAAGAGTACAATTGTTATGTGGATTCGGATCTATGGGACTTGCCTTCAACGCGATTGAACCGAGTAGAAGGAGAACGCGGGTCGGGATTTTTCATTGAATGGAAAGAATCGTGTTCAGAGAATGTTGATTTGACCGGGTTTGACGTGGAAGCCGCTATTGGTCGGGTAATTATGTATTTTGAACAGTTTTTTTCGTCTTCCTTTTTATCAGGCGAAGTTTGCGTTTCTGATGGAGTTTATAGTTTCTACACTTTTTTTTTGGTTTTTTTGCGCAGGTTTTGGCGCTACTCGGGTTTTCTTGGAGTGATACGGGAGAATGGAGAATCGTGAAGCATCTGGAAGAGCCTGAATTTGGACCAGGGCTGCCGGCGCATTTTATCTTTGTTATGGGAAAATTGGTTGCCGGTTATCAAGACTTAAGAGGTTTTCTTTCTATTAACACGTTATGGATGGTCTAATTTTGGATAGAGAAGTCTTTTATAGATTAGGCTGGTCATAGATTATGGTAAATTAAGGAAAACTATTGAGTGGGTAGTGTTGGAGTTGAAGTTATGCTGTACAACAAATTGGGTATATGGTGATCTGCATCTGCCTTTTTAGACATTCCCATCTGTTCTCCAACATTTTCAAGGAATAGTTAATTGGTGATCTGAAGATGAAGAATAATAAATGTCAAATAGCAGTTTTCTTCCTACGCAAGGCAGTGATCACAGATCTGAAACAAGCATGTGAATATAACTAGCAACGGCCAATGTAAAAGTCTTGTATTATATCTGTCTTTAAATTTCTAAGAAGCTCATATTGATGATCACTGTTAGGTTGCATCACGAGTCTCAATGTTAAATTCTACGACGAGTCCTTATGGCTCAATGCACTACTACATATGCAGAGCAATGCATGTGGGTGTCTACACAGACATGTCTGAACTGGCTTCGAGAGGCGAAACCAAGTAGTGATCGTGTGGGACATTTGGCAGTTGTTGGGCTTGTGAATGACCCAGTGAGATCTATAGAGCGGAAAATTCCAACTTCTTTGCGTTGTCAGGTTTGTTGGTTATTTAACTGTGTGATTTATTTCATGCTAGCAGGCAAAAAAGAAGCAAAAATTTTCTTTTGCAGTAGAAATACAGTGATGTTTCCAAGCTAGTTGATACGGAATGTAACTTGTGAGGGATTTTGATTGACATCTGTGGCCTTTTTGCAATGCTCTTTATATTTTCCTTAAAATGTTCATTGAAGTGACAAACGTGAGTTGAGAATCTAGCATTTGGAAATACAATTTACTTCAAGTGGAAAAGACTAAGAGGGAAAATTGACCTTGCTTGGATCTCTTTCAGTAAATGCAAGGTCGAGGTCTACATGATAGATTGATATGTTGGTTGGTTGCAATAGAAGAGCTTGTAAGCTTCTGCCTTTGTACCGGATTTGCCTTAATTCTAACTATTATCTCTGTCATATCAGAAGTCTCGCTATATCACCCAATTTAGAATTTTAATTACTAATCTTACTGTCAGATTTCTGAATTTCAGAGCTTTTTCCGATACTATAAACGTGATATCTCCTTGTTGGCAAAGAGATTATGATCTTTGTCATTTTAAATTACTCTTTATGCAGAATTGTCATTTTATTCACATTTTCAGGAGTACCCTCCTGGTGTTATGCTAGTACCTATGAGAAGCAGGACGCAGAAACCGTTCAAGACAACAAACCTTGTTATATTTTCACCTGAAAATGTTTCACAGGATCAAGAGGATTGTGATTTCATTGCTCATGGAGATGCATTGTTAGTGGATCCTGGATGCCAACATGGACTTCATAATGAAGTATGTTGATGCCTTTTTGGCAGATGATTTTTCTTCTTGAGTGACATTTACCTTAGATATGGAAATAGAAAAGTGAGCACTTAAAGACTTTAGCGTCTCATGCATCTTAGATGATGTGCTGGTTCATCTTGACTTTTGTGGAACTTACCTTTCGGATAACCATTGTATATCTCAGTTTCAGAGAAATTTTCACAAAACCTGTTACCATCGTTGCTTCTTTATCTAGCTTTTGATGAGATTTGAATTCTTGGAGTAATGTATGCTGTACCATTTACGCAAGGTGTGGTGGCTTCTCCCGCTTAAGCAAAGAGCCTCTTTTGGTAGGGTATAGTTTTTAGAAGTTCTAGTTGTCTAGATCTCATTTATTAAGGTACTCAACTGGCTGTATTGAACTGCTGTCATTGGGCTTTTCTTATTATTTGTTTTTAAAGGAAGTAGGAAAAGATATTGATGGACAGAATATATTCAAGTTACACTTGCCATTCTGCAATAACTTGATTCTTTCATGGGATAGCTCTCAGGAGATACTTGTCACTCTGCAGGCAGACAGACAATGGCTCTAATAATTTGCTGGTGTTGTTTTGACATTATTTCTCAGAATTAAGCTTTACAACCTTCTGGTTTGATTCATCAGCTCAGGAAAATTGTTGCTGCTTTACCAAGGAAGTTACTGGTCCTTGTTACCCATCATCATCATGATCATATAGATGGTAATAGTTTTTTGTAAGCTATTTAATGTTTTTCAATATCTTTCCAGTTTTAGAAGAATGCTTTAGCATAATAAGACAGTGGCAGATAAATTATGCAAATTGAAAATCATCTGCCTATCTTATTGAACTTTGAAAATTTCTGTAGTCTGGCCTTCTGGGTCCAAACAGTATAAGCAATCTATTAAGGTTGAAATTAGATATATATCACCATTTCTATTATTTAGTTATTCTGCAATTTTTTTTTCATAATTAGTAGTCTTCATTGTTGATTATTTAAATTCTCGCTATTCCATATGCATAAAATCTCATGTCCTAGGCCCATTTTGCATTTTAGCTTTCAATTCCCCTTTTTTGTTTACTATTTAATACATTTGTTTTCTGAGTCTAAAGAAGAAACATTTTCCTAACTGTGAAATGTAGGTATGTTGTTATGAAGTAGAAAAGGAAATAATAGTTAGACCAAACATAGACTAGTGGGGACACATTTATATATTTCCTCATAATAAAAGTTTCATTATGCTATTAGCTTGTTTATGGTGTCAAGTCTTGACTATCAACCACTCTGTTCTTCCTCTTCTAGTTTCATGCATAAAGTCAGGATTTATGGCATTGTCAAGAGCTTCGGACATGAGCTCTGATGAATTGTTGTAGTTCACGAGTGAAGAAAAGAATTATAGAGTGAGAGAGAGAGAATTGAGAGAAAGATTGAGAGAAAAATAGCAAGTCTATAGAACTGGGACTGTATGATTATTTCACCAAAAAAATCCTCTTACAATCTGGTCGCTCTCACTCCATTTATACTCAACACTTGAGGATAATGGTTCTAACTAATCCGGTCCCACCTATTACCTGCCTGCTTAATACACTTGTTACAATCGATTACACCCTTCTGTATGTTACTCCACCAAACCAATGCCTGTAGACCTTCAATGGTTTACCGGTGCTAACAGGCATAAAGTTAGGACATATGGACGTGTCC